ATTGGTTAGAAATTGGGTTGATGCTTTTCTGATGGTGTTAGTTTGCACTGAACCATAGTAAGAAAAACCATAAAAAATAGCGTGTCTGGCTTCTGTGAGGTGAATATGCTAGTGTTATAGCATATTCTTTCAGAGATTATTGGACATGCAAGCTAGTGCATCTAATTTGTAGGGGCTTACTGATTCCAAAATTTTCAGGTTTTTAGATACTTATCTTATGGATTAACTAGGTTCTATCTAAGGTCCAAAGAACCATTCCTTGAAAAGTGGAAGATTGCTGTTAGTGGTTCAGTGTCACCTACTTTTTCTTATTTGTGAACTAAAAATCAAGTCTCCTTTCGTGGTTTTTGATTGTCCTTTCTATTGGAAGGATTGTTTGTGATTCTTATTTGGTCAATATCATTCCAGACTTCTATTCTTTTGGTATTATAACCACCCTGTCTTTTGCTTATTTTACAATTTTTGCTGTTATAGTGACTTCTCATTTTTAATGAGAGCAATTTTGTGCAGTTCATTGAAGGGGGTGTCCAGCAGGATAGAGATTCTGATGACGAGGGAACTGAAGATGAACAAGATGTCTCCACATCAAATGATGAGGGAACTGAAGGCGAACAACATGTCCATAAGTTGAATGAAATGAACGCAAGTGGTCTTAATTCTTTTCACTTGCGGGAGCAGGTATGATTTTATTTAGCTTTTACTGGTGTGATTTAAGTGATCTGACCAACATGTTGATTTCAGCTTCTAATCATATTAATGGAACAAATTTTAATGTTGTAGCTATGTTTCTGTTTCAAGTCTAGCTATAGAATGGAGGATCAGATGCAGCCAATCAATTGTAAAATTCTACACTTTGATAAAGATGGATAATAAAAAAAATATGTTGATTGCAAGAAAAAATTTGTTGTAGCATATCTTCAGTTGAGTTGAGATTAATAAACAAGAGAGAGAATAATCAAACTAGAACATGATTTGCATACTGCCTCACCATGTAGGTGTGCTCCCTCTGGAAAAGATTAAATCTTAAGGAACAAGGTGGATAATTAGGCTATTTTAGATTTAGAGTTGGAGAACAGAGTCTTTTACTGTTAGTGATTGCAGTTTAATTATGGCAGTGAACTTTGTCAAGTTCTCTGAAAAATCTGAAAAGGAATTATTTCCTCTTATCTTTTTGGACGTGCGTCAGGTCCAAAGCTATATTTGGTTTTGCTATTGAGTTAATCTGTGCAATAAGCTTCTGGAGGTTACTATTTGATTGTTTTTGTCCGTGTTGTGTATCTTCTACATATAACTCTACTACTACAGACCTTAATGGAAGGGTAAAAATTTATTATTTTTATTTATTTTAAGGTATTGTGTTATGGTTAAAATGGAAAATTGGTTGAAGACTCATTTATGGAAAGCATTAAATAAAACGCATACAATAATGGTAGTAAAGGTCAATTCAAGGGTTTAAAGGATGGAAATGGATTAGAATAAGTACCTTTGCCGGGTGGTTTACTTTTTGGTTTGAGGTTTTTTTTCCCTCCCATTATATTGGTTATTATAGTTCTCTCCTTGCATGGGTTATTTTCTTTTATTTATGTAATTGGGAGAGTTTTTATCCTTTATTTTTTGTAATGTTCCATATATCTTTATGTTTCTGCATTTGTGATCAATTTTTGTCAAATTGAATAATTCAGGAAGGAGAAGTGAAGGGTAAGGAGTTGAATCATGAAGGTCAGGATAGTGGACCTGAAAAGCAAGATACAAGTGACAAGGTGATCATTGACATTGTTATTTTAAAAATAAAACATGGCTTATCTTTAATCTTGAAGTTCACATTTTGAGCAAAATCAAAACTTAACCTTGCATTAATCATTACCTGGCTTTTGAATAAATTGACTAGTCATAGGATTAAGGAGTGAATTAGCTCGATATTTACTGGTGTCAATGGATTGGTTTTTTTGGTTTATAGTCTGTATCAGACCAAACCAAACCACTTGAAATTCAGACCAAAGCAAATCATTTTACCATAAAAAGATCAAACCAGAATGGTTCGGTTTTGGTTGTGGGAACTAATTTTTTTTTAAATACGGTGCAAACTGATTATTTAGATGTGTTTTTAAAGATTTTATAACTTCTACTATTTAATATTAACTTATATTCATAATAATGTATCTTAAATAATATATATCACAGAATAAACAAGTTACGCATACAACTTTGTAAAACAAATGAAAAGTTATATATATTAATGGGGTGACCATTGATAATAATAGTACAAATATTTTTACTTATTTAACAGTCTGTTATAATATATCATATTATTATGTCATTATGCATATATAGTTTGGTAAAAATAATTGATATAACCTTTTAAAGAAAATACTGAATGAGGACTGCATTTTTCACGTTTAAATTGCATTGTATTTTGTAGGAAGGTTCTGACGTGGGTGAATATGATGCTGAACTAATGAAAAGATTGAAGAAAGAGAGAAGACGTGCTGTAGCTGCAGCTCGACATGGGAAGAAGGCTCTTTCTTCAAGAAACTCGTACAAGGACAAGGGTGGTAAGTCGTCTCAGAATGCGAAAATACAGAAACAGATGAACAAATGGTAAAATTTTGTATCCAATTACCACGTAATGTAAACAGCAGCTGGGTATTATTAGATCTTATCCGGCAAGCTAAGTTAGAGAGTTGGAATGATTGTTGTCCTGCAAGTCCATATATCAGACGGGTGACGATGCTACAAAGAAAACGGAGAAAGCTGCAAACATGCCTGAGTATCTCGTTGGCATTTTTTGTTCGATGTGGTAATTTTACATATTGACGAGAGCTTGTTATAAATAGCTTAAGAGGAAACTGCAAAACGTGTTATTTTTAAAAAATTTTGGCTGCTTTAGTATACGCTTGGTTCCTAACTGAATCTCATTTGAAATAGCTTGGTTCCTAACTGAATCTCATTTGAAATACAGCTTTGATTTTGATTAGTTTTTAATCACTTTGGGTAGATAACTTAGATGTGGCCGTTGTGGTGATTTCAATTAATGCTGTAAATTATTACTTACAACAGCATCGGATATTAAAGTATAATGAGTTTTTACATAATGTAATCCAGTTTATAATAAACATTCATTGCATTTTTATAAGAAGATCAAAATCTAAGATAATATAGGACAGAGATGAAGGGGAAATTTCTTTTTTTTTTTATTTTATTTTAATTATATATGTATTGGTACGTGTATTTATTATTCAGAACGTCTATGTTGGTTGTTTATTTGTTTAAGTAAAATCATGTATGACTACCGCAGTTCTTTAAAAGATTAATTTCCTGATTCTTTTCAAATCTCATCTTCGTTTTCACTGTAATATTGTTATAACAGTTAACTAGTTTGCAGGGTTTTTTATCTACAACCAAATTAACTTAATAAGCAAAAAGTTAAAAAAAGAAGAAGAAAATCCATGTAGAAAAGAAAGCCCTGTAGTTTCTATGGTCAGTTAATCTTGGTTTAGGATGAGGAGTTCGATCTCTGATCAGTTACAATCTCTGTTCCCTTGGCTTGAGATCTAAGTAGAGCATCCTCTTCTCTTACTTTTGTCATCTGAACAGCAGCTGCACCGGGAGGAGAACCAGCACTGTTACCATTTGCGGCTTTTCTCAGACCTTTGTTCTTCTTGGCTTGCCTTGCCCACCCCACAAGTCCCTCTTGAATGTGTTGGTCGAATATTGCCTTCTTGAATGAACTTCCCATCTTCATATATTAATCCGGCCATGTTAAATTTTAAACAACTTATATATATATATATATATATAAATAATCTTAATTCTAAAAGTATATATTGTTTTGTTTACGATGTTGAAAGCAGAGAATGTTATATAATCCATATTACCTGTGTCACAATGGCGTAGAGCGGCAATGTACTGTAGCTGCATAGGAACTGCACGAACGCTCTGACAAAACAGAAAGTGGGATTTTATCGTATACATTAGATCACAATTTTATTATCTGTTTGATTTATTTTTATTATATTATTTTCACTTAATTACAAATATATGTAAAATGAGATTGCAATTCTCATGTTGTTACTTGAATTTCTTAGGAGAAGAATTCTGATTCATACTTCGTTAGAGTGGAAATTATAATATCTTCCCAAAAATTTAAGTTGGAAATAAGTAATTCAAAAATAAAAGCAAAAATCTGTACGTTAAAAAGGTTTAACATAAAATTTTTTTACGTTAATAATTAAATTAAAAAAATAAAAATTAACCTGGAATTGAATCATAAATTTTTAGAGAGAGAGAGAGACAGAGATGGTTTTGATATATGTTATTACCCTATGACAAGTCTTGGGATAATATACCGAACTTGGCCCATTATGCAGGAGTCAAACCCATACTGAACCTGTAAATGGAATATGATTCAAGGATCAGTAGGCTGCAAACTTACTATGTATCTAATTTCCAAGACTAACTACATGCGTCTAGAGTATTTTATGTAAGTCTGTATACATTTAAAGACTAAATAAATCAAAATTAAACAAAAAATAAAAGAAAAAATTATAAAATAATAACTAAAAATACTCATTAATTGTAGTTAAAAATAATAAAAAACTAATTTACGGGGATTATATATATATAAAAAAAAAAGCATAGAATTTAAATTGTACAGAAGATCCAACACAAGAATTAAAACTATCGTTTGTTGTCAAATATAATATATGAAATATGACGAAAAGGATTTGTATATATTGTAAGAATGTAATACTTACCAATATCCAGAAGAAAAATGCCAGTTCAAATGAGTTTTGGAACAGAATGATATGAATCAGAAATAGGATGAGTTTTGGCCTGTTGAACCAGAAGTGTTCATCTGATGGCTGAACCACCAGGTCCCCCTCTACGGCCACATGCTTCTCCGCAACCTCTTGCGCCAACTGTGTGATTATATGCTCCAATTTGGTGCCCACAGCAAGCAAAAGCTGCATACAGGATAACCATTTTCACAAGCTATTGCTACATGTTCTATCTCAATATCAATATATATATATATGTATGTACATAAATATAATGCAGAGTTACAGCAATTACTGTAATTTGGTTGAAGAGCTTACGGTGAACGGAATGAATGCTATCCAAAAATATGTATGCCAACCTGCATGGAAAAAAATTAGACCTTATATCACGTCTCTAACATCAACTTGAAATTTGAAGAGAAGTTCCCATAAATTAAATCCATTATGTCACTAAACATATATATATATATATATATATATATATATATTACGTTAATTGAAAAACTAAGACAGAAAGAAAATACATATTGTACACTTGAAAATAACAGCTTACCAGCAACATTAAGCAACAAGAAGATGACCACAAATAGCCAAAGATACCAACTGCATTTGATTTTTTTTCCCAAGAAAAATTGAGAAAATGATCAATCACTAGTATTTTGTTCAGAGTGGGAAACTGACAGAGCCAATTCCATTTTTGTGCATTAAACCAAAATTTTCACATTAAAAGTCTAAATTGAACCAAACACAACCATTAACATAATTGGATGATTTCGTAACTGCAACTAACCTTATTCCTACAACTTTCTTAAAATCAGCTTCGAGTGCACGCATCATGTACTTGTGAAAATTGAATTTTGGGTTACCTCTACAGTGAGTCTACAGAAGAATTCGATTTCTCATGGTTAAAACAAAGAAATGTTAAGCTGTGATATTATTCATTAGTTTGACTTACCATAACAAAACCTAGCCTCAATGTGATGTAATCTGATTTAGTAACTGAACCAAAGAATTGCTTGAAAAATGAATGCTGTAAATCAAAAATCAAAATATAAGCAAAGCTGAATTCTCACTCAAAAATAACTAGAAATGCTTATTACTATCATGTGTGGATTTGAATGAGTAATGTGTCTAAAAAAAGTAGAACACTTTATCACTTGGACCACAATGATTGCCTATGGGTTTGCTATTAAATTAGATTTCCTAGAGTAAGGAGAGAATATTTCAAGCTTACCCCCCAGCCTAGCACAGCAACACTCTTTCCAAAACCATGAAACCGATTCCTGATAAAATCATGATCTCGCACATGTGTGAACTTCTTTTGTAAAACTGCACAAAGAGCACGTTGTCTAAGAAAGCTATAAAGAAAAGGTAAAAGAAAAAAAAAAAAAAAAAAAGAGCAACTTAAGGATTATAAGGTGTTTTGACTCAAAAATAAGTTACACGTTCCTATTTTGCACTTTTAATTTGTTAGCCAATAGTTGATAAGTTCAAACAAAATAATCATTTTCTCAATGTACTGTACCAGAATTGGTGACTTGAAAAGATGTGTACACGGAGGGAATAATACAGCTTTAAAAAAAATCGAAGCACATAATACAGTCTAGTTGACAGACATCAAGCTAGGCAATAAAAATGTAGATTGATAGTTAAGAAATTGAAATTACCGTCTTCTGCATTATAATTCTTTTGAGCAGCAGAATCTTCCCAGTGTTTCCATTGACGTATCTACATATATGCCATCACGAAAGTGTAATAAATAAACAATCAAGAAAGTCAAGAAACATTGGAGGTTCTAAAATTTCATAAATGTATATAATATATAGATATATAATATCACGAGAACTTACTTTAATGCTGCCAAAAAGAATGGTGAGAGCACAGAAAGTGACATGCACGACAGCTAGCACGAAGATGAATATGTGAAGATGATGCAGAGCTGTGGTGGATAACAATGGAACCTTCCCCTGAAAAACAAGAAAATAAATGTTATAATTATGAATCTTCTAGATTGAAATCCTTTAGGCACGCGCAAATAGCGTATAACGTGCTTCCCATATTAACACATCTTTAGATACTTAGGTGGTATCTGGATCAATTTAGACGCGCTTAAATTATATATATATAATATTATACTGGAGAGTATTTACTCGGACCGGCTTTGTGTACTTGGAACAGGTTATTCTCCGGTTTGATTAAATCAAATTATACGTAGTTAAGTTACTAAAAAATTTGTAAAGAAAATACTCCACAAATTATATTTAAATAAATTGAAACTCTATCTAATTCATAAAAATTCAACCTTACTTACTAGCAATCAATAGCCTAATGCTAATTAATATATTTTTTGAAAAAATATTTATTATCAATACATAAGTTCGATAAAAATAACTTTTTGTAAGTTTGACTCAATTAAAATAATTACTAAAGTAAAAAAACCAAAGTAAATAATTAAATTGGTAAATTATAATTATACTGGAACAAGTTTTGGAACACTTAATTTAAGTATTTTTCCTGTCTGGTAAAAGATAAGTTATATAGGCAGGGATTAGTAAATACAGAAGAGGAATACTTACGGACTAAGTTCATACTTATTTACTAACAAACTGAAAATAACACTAGCATTTTGAATCCATAAAAGGTAAACTACAAATTAGATGGATGAACGCGTATAATACTATATTAGATGGAGTAGATAAAATTCCAATCGATTTACGTGTCACTCAATTAATACACTTCTACTTCCAATGAAAAAGAACCTATTCACCTAATTCTGCTCGAAATTTTAAAATTAATCTTTCATTTGCAGATGAATAAAATCATATTAACATTCCGAACTTAAAAAAAAATGAAATCAGACACGTAATTCGATGGTAGATGATCACCAGAAAAAGTAACAGCTGAAAAGAAAAAAGAGGAGGAATGCGTTTTGAAATTTAACCTTGATAGAGCAGTAAGTAGGGGCGGAGGAGTCCTCGGAGAGGAGCCGACGGCCGACGGTGGCCGGAAGAACACCGGCGGAGAAAAAAATGTCTGAAAATGAGCTGTCGTACCTTCGTCTTTATCATCACTTGGTTTTTTACACGGCATAAAATTTCGTAGCCAATTCCTCTGATATACAGATCTTGTTAATCCTTTCTTGAAAAACCGTTAGCAGCAGCGATATAAATCCCAACAGCATTAGCTCTGCAACACGAATCGCCTCCGATCATCGATACATACATATATAACCAGAGAAAGCTGAGAAATAAGAGAAAATAAGAGAGAACCTTCTTTGATCTTCTGCAAGGCCTCGAACAGAGGCTTCTGATCCTTCTTCTTCAAATACTGTCAACGAAGACGACATTGCCGGTGTTATTACAGAATGAAAATAGAGTAATTAACATAAGAGAATCTGGCCTATCAACACACACACACACACACGTATATATTATATATACCTTGCCAGCGAAGTGGAGAAGACGTTCGACAGCGAGAGAAATGATGACGATGACGCTACAGACGACGGCCACCACCCATGTCGGAGTGAATTCTAGTGTTGTACCTCCTTCCGCCATAACCGATTTTCTCTCTGTGCCTCCTTCGTCTTCTCTGCAGAAAGAAGGATTTAAAAGCGTGTTGTTGAATCATGGTTAGGGGGGGAAAGCTTTAATATAAAGGTAATAGCAGCGTTAAGGTCTATGAGGTAAGTAATTCCCAATTAAGCGTAAAGGACGGCTTCTTAAATTGATGAAAAAAGACAAAAAAAAAAAAAAATCCACTCAAAATAAATAAATTCCAAAATCTGCAAAATTAAATAATGAATTTTTTTTTTCTAAAAAATAAGTTTTTAATTAAAAAAAAAAATTGAACGGCTATTCCAATTATCAATTTTCTAATATATAATTTTAAAATACCCACAATATATATATATATACTTAACGAAATAAATATAAAAATAAAATTTTAACTCTTTTTTACTACTTTAATTAAATAAATTAATTATTATAAAATATTCTTTTTACTTAAAAATAATTTCGTTAGAATTTACTCAGCATTGTTAATATACAAGTGAGTTAAATTATTAATCCGATTGAATTAAGTATTATCTCATAATAGATTTATAAAATAACAAATTTTAAATTTTACTCACTATAAAATATTAATAAATTAAATTTTTGGTCAAATTAAATAAAATATTAACTTATAATACTCTTACAAAATAGTAAATTTTGACTACCCAATAAATTTTTTTATATTATTTGTTAAGTAATTTAGTATTAATTTAAAAAAAGCGAAAGATATAAAAGCTTTTTTTAGTGTACGTTATAATGAATTCAACATATTAAAATATTATTTATCCTAATAATTAATAATTTCGATACTGTTAAGATAATTAATATATCTCAAATTTTTTTTTAAAAAAAATCTAATAAAATATTTAAAAAATTATTAATTTATGAATGCCTCAAAATTCATTTAATAATGTTTTTTTTTTAAAGGATACCAACAAGAACACCAAATCATGAAGACGCGTTTTTCTTTTCTAGCAAATATTAATAATTTTGGATTTTTTCTTTTTTTCAATTTTTTATAAAAATATTTTCATAAACAAAAAATAAAATAATTTTAGATTTTTCCATATATATATATATATATAACATATATCTAAAATATAGAAAAAAAATTTCGATATATTTAAACAAAAAAAAAACCCAATTAAGTTATTTATTGAAATTATATTTAAAAGAAAAATCAATATTTTTTCTTCCATAGTACAAAAAATAATAATTAATTTGTGCGTTAATATTGATTTTTTAAATTTTATAAATAATTTATTAGAAGGAGTTGTAATGTTTATTTTATTTTTTTTAAAAAAAAATTAAGCAATTATAATTTTTGAAATTAAAGGATTAAAATGGGCCAAAAATCCAAAACATAATTTTGGTGATCATGAGACATAATTACAAAGGTTAATTTTGCAATAATTATTTTTTATCTATTATAATGCATGCCACCATCATGTTAAGCTTGCCATTTCCTACCTATATATATATATATATATGTATATATATTTCTTTATTCAAATGTTTTACACACGTATATCTATATATGTATATGTATATATATATATATGGCATGTACATATGGCACATAATATTAACTTGTTGAAATTAATTAAGGTGGTTTGTTAAATTCACATCCTAACATTAGATACCCACTCCACAAAATAATATCATATCTATAAGTGTATACACACACGTGTGTGTGTATATATATGTATGTATGTATGTATATTTATTTCTTTTTATTGGATTGGGTATGAATAAAAAACATTAATTTAATTAAATTGTCAAATAGTAAATTGATACATTAATTTTATAATGATTTTCGATATATACTAAGAGATTCTTCCTTTTTGTAAAGAGTTTTAAGTTCTTAATTTAGTGGGGAAAAGTGAAATGAACATTTATACCTTTCATAATAATTATAATATCCATAAGTGAAAAGTTTTATAAAAAGTGATATTATGAGCCTTTAAAAAATAATTATATTTTGAATTTAATTTATAAACATCAAAAGTTATAGTCAAATATATAAGTAATGTTTAGTGAGTTAGTTTTATTTTTATTAATAAATTAATTCAGTATTTAAAAAAATAAGATATTATGTCAGTTTTTTACTATATTGTGATTAATTTAATTAAAAAATTAATTATTAAGACATATTTTTTTCTATCTGAATATGCTATAAA